CCTAAACCCCTAAAACCCGAAACCCCCGAAACCCTAAACCCCTAAACCCCTAACCCCGAAACCCCCGAAACCCTAAACCCCTAAAACCCGAAACCCCCGAAACCCTAAACCCCTAAACCCCTAAACCCCCAAGGACGAGTACACCAACAGTGACACCGGCAACTCGGCGACACCAGCACCAACACCAAGAGCAGGTCAGACGAACAAACAGCAGCCGCAAAACGGCAACAACAACCACAACAAGAAAAAACATGAAAACCAATCCACCCCTCGGGCCCTCGGGCCTCCGAGGTGTCCTCCTGGCCCGGGCCCTGGCTAGAACCAACATCACCATCGTGATCCTCGGTTTCTAGAACGTGGCAGGACAGGCGAAACGCAGCATTGCCAGCAACGCTAGATTTAGCAGCAGCTGCAATGGTACTTGGAGGTCGAGTCGAGATTCATAGGGTTCTAGAATTAGAAAGGCTACTAGAAGGGGTTCCATCAGGGTCTATGAGAGGGTTGGGGCGTTTTAGTGAGTTTAAGTTAGGGCGCAGGGGTTTAGGGATATGGGGAGTAGTTCTAGGTAATAGTAGTAGTCGAATAGTGGTAGTAGTAGTATAGTAGTAGTATAGTACTAGTATTATACTAGTATAGTACAAGTATAGTACAAGTATAGTAGTAGTGTAGTAGTAGTACAGTAGTAGTACAGTAGTAGTACAGTAGTAGTACAGTAGTAGTAGTAGTAGTAGTAGTAGTAGTAGTAGTAGTAGTCGAGTAGTGGTAGTAGTAGTAGTAGTAGTAGTAGTAGTAGTAGTAGTATAGTACTAGTATTATACTAGTATAGTACAAGTATAGTACAAGTATAGTAGTAGTGTAGTAGTACAGTAGTAGTACAGTAGTAGTACAGTAGTAGTAGTAGTAGTAGTAGTAGTAGTAGTATAGTAGTAGTATAGTCGTAGTATAGTAGTAGTATAGTCGTAGTATAGTAGTAGTAGTAGTAGTAGTAGTACTCGTCGTCGTCGTGGTGGTGGTGGTAGTAGTAGTAGTAGTAGTAGTAGTAGCAGTAGTGGCGGCAGTGTGCTGCAAATATGAAAACTATCAGCAACTGTCAGTGTGCAAGTGTAGGCCTGTGGAGGCCGCGAAACTAAACTCCATTCTGAGATGGCGACGGCGGAAGGTTTCTCTTCGACGTCTGCGGAAGTCGAACTTGGAGGCCTTCGTACCGCCAAGATTGGCCGACTCAAATTAAAGGCTTAAAGGGGTCAGAAGCGTTCTGAAAAAAACGCGACGACTAAATGCCGTGAACATTGCAAGAACCATCGACATCATCGCAATAGGAATGGGAATCGGAAAAATAACAATCAAACCTTGCCACTTTGCCAGCATTCATGATGTTTCGCATGGGCTTGGGGCCGCAGAGTTGGATAGCGGCGGCAGTATCAAGGACATTGACAAAGACAAGGAGAAGCAGAAGAAGTAGTCAAAATGCAATGCTGATGGTGATTGTTATGATACGGCAGTGTTTGTGGTTGTGGTTGTGGTGGCAGGTCGCAGCAGCAGTACCAGTAGCAGAAGAGGTGGCAGCAGCAGCCGTACTATATAAGTTGACCAAGTAATCAGTACGACCGCAATAAGCCCGCAGCAAGAAAGCAAGCGAGCAAGCAAGCGAGAAGGCAAAGGAGTGGGAATTTGGATCTGCTCCCGCCGCTGCTCCTGCTAGTACTGGCACTTGTACTGTTCGTAGCACCGGTACGCTGAGTCAATCAAGCCCACAGGCCCCAGAAGTGTGAGGATGCAGGCCGCCGGGGTCGTAAGAGTTCCTGGGAGCAGGCTGGCGGTTGATGCTGCTGTTGCTACGTACTTCTGAAACTACAGTACCGCCACAGTTACCGGTAGGCCGTGCAGGAGCCGTCGTCATCGTCGCAGCAGCAGAAGAGCAGGCATGAAAATAATAAAAAGCAGTGGTGCATCAAGCGGAAGTGGAACAAGCCCCGTAATGACAGTCGTTTTTCGTGGAACCATCAGCATCATCAACAACATCACCAACACAGCTCTCGTTTTGATGGTATGAATGGCAGCCCACGAGCATCCCACTAAGCCGATGTCCCAATTCTAAGGTACAGGATTCAACCCCAGGCTTAGGTCTTGATGATCTTCAATCTTGTCAGAAGTTGGGGTTGTGCGAACCCCTTCACACAGATCGTGCTAAGTCGTGGGCGTGACGGCGTCCTTGGTACCTGGACAGAGGCACAAAAAAAAGCACGGAAGTCTTCTGAGCTTCGCTGCGTCCCAGGGGAGAGAACCGTAAATCGAAAGACACCATCCACAGCAAACATGACACCCAAAGTCGCGGCAGGGCCTCTAACCCTGACTGCAGTCTTCATTTTATGGGCTGCTGAAGCAGTTCTAGGGAGTTCGGGGCATGGCGACTGAAGCTGTGAGATGCCCTTAGCTGTGGTTCGGGCCTGTCTTCGCGGGCTTCAAGTCCGGGCTAGGCGGCGATGGCACCGCCACATTGGCCTGCCCCGGCGTCTGCGGCCGCTCACAGGCAGAATGCATGGGCCGGCGAGGACAATCTCTGGTATTCGAATTTCCCGGTGCTTCAGGCCACAAATCCACAATCGCCGTCCTATAGCTTGCCAAGCAACCCACTGACCTCATCAGAGAGGCTGCCGGTGCCACCGGTTCCAGCCGAACCAACCTCGATTTCCGGCATGCAGCTTCAAGGCCCTTGCATAAAGGCAGCCATCGTCCCTAGGCCCTGGTCTGAACACACTGGGTGTGAAGACTCGGGCACGCCCCGGGGAAGTGCGAGTCTCCTGCGCTCTCTGCACCCCAAGGTCTGATAGCACTCTCATTAACAGAAACACCGGACTCTTTGGACATGACCGCCGATCAATCTGAAGATGTCTGGAGAATGTACGCTGCGAGAAAAATTCTGGATTCTGCGCTCTAGCCTCTCATTGCTGATGCAGCTGCTGCAAAAATGCAACATACCCCGGCTTTACTCGGAATCTCGCGGTATCTTGATGCATCCATACAATCCCATGACATGTCCCTCGGCCTTCGATCGCGCACTCAGCTGGCCCGAGCTAAACCGCCCCGGCCACTCCTGCTGTGCCTTGGTCGTGTTCCCAGCCTGCGGCCTGCCACCATGAAGTCATGCCTTGCAAAAAAGACCATCCATCGGGGCCGCACCTGGTCATCGCAGCTTTCACCTTCGGGCTCTTGGCCTGAAAAGCAGGTCGCACCAGCGCATGGCTCGAGCCAACAACTCTCTCAGAGGCCGGTCCTGGCTGCTGCCCGTCTCGCCATAGAGCCCATGGAAGCCCTAACAAGCACTCACTAGGCTCTCAAAAGAGGGTCTTCTTCCGAGTCTTTCCGGGATGGCCTTTGCAGGCCGATGTGCCGAGCTTGCCGAGCTTGCCGAGGTCCGAGGGCGAGTGAATGACGGCGAAGCCGTTTTTTCAAGGCGTCCCGATCCTCCCTTTTCCTTTGCCGGGGACCCGCGGCCCGATCCCCCCTTGTCCTTCGTAGGGGACCCTGTCGTGCCTGGAACGTCGCAGGATGCCACCGGCAAGCACAGGAAGAATCATGAAGCATGCCAAGGCCTTCTTGCATATTCAGCACCTTCCGCACGGAACGACCTGAGAAGCCATCCAAGCCAAGTGGCCGGACTGAATCTTGCAATGGAGGCAACACTCAAGCGTGCTCAACTGAACCACTCAGGATGCTAGCTGCTAGTTGAGCTCTCTACACCACACGTCTGGGGCAAAAGCGGGCAGCGGCGAGGATGGCGCGAACTTGCTCCGCCTTTGCGTGTGCGTGAGGCTACTTTGTGCAGTAGACATTGCTGGAGGCACTCCCGTTGCACGGATTCGTCCGAGTCTGCATGAAGGCAGCATACACTTTACATGACGGCATTGAGAAGACACCTGCGATCAGGGTACGCCTTGCCTAACGTTCTCACGCGCTTCAGGGTCGTGTTGTACCAAGGCTTGCTGGCCGCCGAGGTCGCCGCGTCGGCACGAAGTGACATTCGATTGCTGACGATGCACTCCAGCACCTTAAAATGTAGCGTCCGTGGAATTACACATATATAGAGAGAGAGAGACATACAAAGAGAGCGAGAGAGACAGAGACAGAGATAGACACATATCAATACATAAGTACATACATACTATACATACTATATAAACTATACATACATACATACATACATACATACATACATACATACATACATACATACATACATATATGTATATGTATATGTATATGTATGTATATATGTGCGTGTGTGCGTATGCATGCGTGCGTGCATGCATGCATACGTTAGTATGTTAGTAGCAATGTCATCGTCATGCTGCTCTTTACGGTACTGCAGGATTTGATGTTGCCCTTTTCTCCTTAAATGGTGCCCGTCCCTGCTCTGATGCGGTTCTCTCCTCTGTGCAGCAGCACTGGCTGTTGGGCGGCGGATCATTGTAGATGCTCCCGTCGGCTCCGTGGTCCTCCCTCAGTGTGGTTTGTGTGATTGTTCCGGCTCGTGGTAAAGCGACGACTGTCACCAGACCGACAAGCGTGTATATATATATATATATGTATGTATATCTATATATACATGTGTATATGTGTGTATATATATATATATATGTATGCATGCATGTTTGTTTGTAACATTGTATGTGTAACTTGTGTGTATGTATTTGCACGGCACGTGCGTGTACGCCCGACCCCGGGCCCGGCAGGGCGAATCGCGGTTACTTGGCGCCTGCTGAGCCTGCGCCAGGTAAGATTGGCAGGACCTCACCTGCCAGGAGTGAACGGTTTAGGGTTTAGGGTTTAGGGTTTTTTTTGCTTCCTACTTAGCAAGGACGAGCCCGCATTGCAGGGTAACGCGACGGTTTTAGGGTTTAGGGTTTGGGGTTTAGGGTTTAGGGGGTTTCGACTCACACAGTTGCAACAGGGTTTCGCTCTCGCAACTCGGACTCCGCCAGACTCTCTTGGGTTTCGACTCTCACACTCGCACTCTCTTGGGTTTAGGGGTTTGCACTCTCACCACTCGAACAAGCCAGGCGAGGATCCATGTGCAATAGTCGGTGTGATACAAAGCTGACGGGATGCCTGCGACTATTCAAACATCACAATAACTAGGTAAAACATTCCACTCACAAATTAGCGCTTAGTGTTTAGGCAAAAGCCATGCAATGCAACAACACCCTCGCTTCAGTGAAAGGGTTGCCTCTTTGGTCACTTCCTGTGAGCCGTTCTGCATCTGCTGCACCTGCTCCATGTTCTGTGTGACTCTGCCCCATCTAGCAAGCTCAGCCCATTTCACGGAGGCAGACATACAGAGAGAGAGAGAGTGTGTGTGTGTGTGTGTCTGTGTGTCTGTGTGTCTGTGTGTCTGTGTGTCTGTGTGTCTGTGTGTCTGTGTAAACCACGAAGTTTCCGGAACGAAACCTTGAAGAGTGACGAATGGCAACACTTCTGCTCGAGGCAGGTGGCCTGGGCCTTGAGAATAAAGTTCTCGCCTTCCAGTCGCAGGCAGGTGGCCTCGTAGAAAAAGAGACCCGCAGACCACTTTGAAACGGGTAACAGCTTCTCAGCTGCTGGAAACTATGGGAATAAGCCGTGCTGAACTTTCGGAAGTGCCAGCATGGGGCCAAGAATGTAGCGGTGACAGCATGATCCGTCCTTGCTAGACTGTACGTTTACCTACCTATTCAATGAACCAACCAAAACGGTCTGCCATGCAGAACTTGTCGAATCAGCCTTTCAAAACTGCATGGCCTGCGGCCCTAACAGCAATCGACACGTGAGCGCAAGGGCAGCAACAAGACTGGGTTTATGTATAAATATCTGCGACGCTTGCTGGCATGCTCCCCCTTACGGTCTGTGTCACAGTGACCCGCCTCACGCTGTGCCAGAGCAGCCTGCACGAACAATGAAAGTACATCCAACGCAGGAACCGACACGTGAATGTTTGCACACATCTGTCTTTTTTAGGTGTGCATGTATGCAAGCATGCATAACTGTAGGGCCATGTAGGGGTATATATTCTATGAACGAATGTACATACATGCGAGTGCGAGTGTGCATGTATACATGTATACACGCACACGTGCATGCATACACTGCAAGTATGTATGCATATCTCTGAAGATTTTATGCATGTATGTATGCATCGAATGTTTTTCACCCTATATAATATTGGATAAGTCTTTTCTTTGCATCCTCTCTCGAGGTTTGAAAGGAGATGCTCCTGAAACTGTATGCGCTGTAACATGTACTCGAGTCGAGATAGCTGATTATTAAAGATACAAAGACTGAAAAACAAACATGTCTTTTGGTAAAAACAAACTCCACGTGAAAACCGACGGCTTTTTGACACATAGCATAAAGACATACCATCACATCCGTGATATCTATCCAGAACCTAGGTTCTGTGTTTAATATCGCAATAGGAGGGGGGTTCCACTTGTCTGCTACAGTGTCTTCTTCACGTGTTGAAATTAAAGTGCGGATCAGGGATCATATCCCAACCTCCGGGCTGAAGTTTGCGTCCTGGGCGTGAGCCTGTTTTTTTGCCTCCTACATGGCTGAGCGAGTCGCGAAGCAGGGTTATAGGTTACATGTCGGTGAATTCAGCTCCTTCATGTTGATAGAGCTCTTCGTCGCACAGGCCACTCTCCACTTAAAGAGAGGTAATCAAGTGAAGGAGCGCACGCAAGCGCTCCGTGTATGAAATTTATGTTCAAAGCATTCGGATTGAATCATAGATTTAAAAAAGCAGTGCGAATAGCTGGGACACTGGCAAGTTCAAAAATCCAAAAATCCAAAGATTTTTACAGAATCTTTGGATTTGCATTTTTTATCTTTTTGACTTCCATGGCTTTTCAACTTTTTGGTAGATTCCAAAAAAACTGGAAATGTTGGATTTTGCTGGTGTCCATGGTCAAAATCATTATATTCTCTAGGGCTTTTTTGGATTCTAAATTGAAATCAAAAAACCAGGGAATCCATCGTTTCCGCCGGCGGCACCAACAAAATTCAAATTTTGCCTAGGGAATTTAGGATTTCGTTACAAAATCCAAAAAATTGACCAGCGACACCAGCAAAATCCAAACATTTTCCGTGGTACTTTTGGATCCTACCCAAAAATATTGAAAAAAAACCATGGAAGTCCAAAAAAAACTGCAAATCCAAAGATTCTGTATTGCGCCTCGATGGAAGTTTGCCTGGCTATGCTCCGAACCACCATTTTTGTGACACAGTTGTGGGTGGGTTTGTGAGTTTCTCAAAACAGCAAAATCATCGGTATTTACGGTGGTTTCTATGTATTTTACATACCAAAGAAAGACGGAGGTAGATCATGGGGGGGGCTGACCATATATATATACACACACACACATGAGTACAAACGCATGAAGTGTATGTACGTATGTG